AAACAGATTCCGCTAGTAAATCGAATAGCAGAGTAAAGTAGGGGAATAGAGGTTAACTTCTAATGTAAACATATTTAAGACGATTAACATGTTACACTTTTGTGTATTTGCATGTGAACCTGTGTGTTTACTTTCATTTATTGCTTGTTTCTTAGGTGTCGTTTTCGTCTCGCAAAAGTAGCCGTTTTCGCTTTGGGCGAAGTCCCATTTTCGCCAATCGGTGCCGTTTTCACTCCGTGACGTTTTGCTGAGGTCCCGTTTTGGCTGTAACCCGACAGTTCTCGTGATCAATTTTCATAGTTAATGACATTGTACATTTGTACCTATTCATCCCTTCCCGTGACTGACACTATAGTTTTTAAAAACGTCCATAAAGTCACTTTTCAGTACAGCGATCTGTATTCGCCACACTTGGGAATGGCAATATCCAGAAATATGGACACTACATGAGGCAGACCCATAAGACGTTTGTATTAACTGTCCTTGTGTTGTCCTTGTTAGTGGATTTGACAATTCTCATAAGAACTTTATGAGATTAAATAACTACTGTTACTAATAGTTACCGGAAATCAGTGATACGATGGTATAATTACTTTTCCTTATCCCCTGACGACAACCTTGACCGTTTACATAAAGTACAGGCAAGTTTCTTGTTTGTCGGGGTAACAATGCCGTAGATACTGACTAAAATATGAAACTCAGTGGTAACCTTGACCTTTCCATAATTTCTAAAATAGCTGTTTCATTACAGGTTTAATCATTTTTGACAACATTTCCAACTCACATGGTGATTTTCTAGACATAAATGAAAAAAGTACAAAATGGAGAAAACTTCACTGTTAGATAGATATTTAACTTAATTTTCGAATGAGCGTTGTTCACTCTTTCTTGCAATATTCCTCTTATTTACTTTGTCAAGCTATAAACACACCACTTCGAATATATAATAGAAAGAAAGTAGCTAGATCCATCTGGCCCTGCTCCAGGATTTATCCACTTTGATCAGACACCACTAACCAGGTATCAGTTCCAAGCTGTCCTCAAAAAGGCCTTGGCCCTCAGCTTAATAGGTACTGAAAATTAATCTTCCCACTCTTTCCGAATCAAAGCAGCAACTACAGCAGCTAGCATAGGGGTACCTCCACATCTCAAACAATATGGCAGGTGGAAGTCAGAATGCTATCAGTCCTACGCGTCTACCTGCGAAATAATTATTTACGTTAGTTAACAGTAACTAAAACATAACTAATAACTGCCAAATGCTACTACTGTACATTTGTTCCAGTCTGGATGGTGGGCTCATACTTTATGGCAAGGTCAAGGCAACAGCTATCCCCACAGCGACCGGAGCTGGTGCCCCTCAAAAGGATCTTGTGGTTGGCGAGGGGCGCTCTGCGGTGGAACGACCTGGACAGGGTAATAGATGCTCAGGTGGAGGCAATGCGGCGCAGCCCTTCAGCTGTGGTGATACACCTGTGCTCAAACACCTAGGCTCCACTAAGACAAGCCAGCTCCTCCTCGATATGGAGACATCTATCATGCCCATCCAGGCACACCTACTGGATACCCATGTTTGTTATTTGGCATTCTTCAACACCGTTACTGGCACAACGCACCCGACCTACGTAAGGTGGAAAAGAGCAGATCGAAGCTGAACAGGCGGCTAGCCAATGGTCTCCGTGACGTAACAAACTTTTCATTTATCCCCATCCCAAAGTAGTGGCCACTGACCGATCCTGGTTTCAGTGGGAAACTGAATACCATTTTTGTATGATATGCCCATTCTATAATGATATAAGAAGTCTATTACCGAAATACTATGTACAAAACCCAACTCTTTTTAAATTCCAACAACTACTGTCATCACAAAATGCCTACACTGTTAATGTCTTAGCGAAATATATTTTCCTGTCAATGAAAAAAAGATGTAAACAACTCAATATTAATTAATTGTCACTTTGATTGACCAATGTATAATATTGTATGGCGCTCAATTGAATTGAAAAAATCAATGAAATATGTATTGTATAATGGGCCGGTGGCCCCTTTACTGCAATAAACTCTCTCTCTATACTAGCCACATAAAGAAACTGTGCACGGAGAAAATATATTCTGGATTGAAATACAACACAGCAAAAACAAAATGATGCAGACGCTGTAGCAGCTGAATGATCGGACCATAAGAAAATGTCAACGGGACCTGAACAACATCTGTTACGATGACGTCAGAAGATCAAAATGGAGTAGGGGGTCATACGACAAAGTCACAAAGTCAATAACGGGTATGACCACCCTGTGCGTGAATCACAGCAGTGCATCGGCGACGCATGGAGTCCACCAAATGGGCATGGAAGGCCTGGGGAATGGCCTGCCATATCCTCCTCAAATCCTGTGCCAAGTCACGGACGTTATCTGGAGGATGTGGAAGACGACGCAGACGGCGCTCCATTTCATCCCACACATGCTCTATCGGGGAGAGATCTGGAGAAACTTCAGGCCATGGCAGTAACTTGACATTGTTATGGTGAAGGAAATCCATTGCGACCCTAGCCGTGTGAGGACGAGCGTTGTCCTGTTGAAATGTCAATCCCGGGCCATGACGTTGCAGGAAAGGAATGACCACAGGCCTCAGAATCTGATCTCTGTAGCCAACACCGGTGAGATTGCCCTGAACAACCACCAAAGGGGTTCGGTGCCGTGCTGTTATCCCACCCCAAATCATCACAGAGCCACCTCCAAAACGATTCCTCTCCACAATACAGTTGCGTGCATAACGTTCTCCCAAACTCCGGTAGACACGTTGGCGCCCGTCACTGTGGGAAATGTTGAACCTCGATTCATCTGTAAAGACATTTCTCCACCATATTCGAGGTTGGCGAACATGATTTCGACACCATCTTAGACGGTTGACTCGATGACAGTGTGTCGGGATGGGACGTACAGACGTAAACGATTCCTGACAGTGTTGGGATGGATACGGCGCAGTCCAGGAATTGTCTGGGACGTCGTTACTGCCGTTTGGAACCTGTGTCGGAGATGTGTAACTCGAATCCATCTGTCCTGTCTTGGCGTCGTTACTCGGGGACGTCCTGAACGTGGGTGGTCGGCAACGTCATTTGTGTTCTGATAACGCCTCACCAATGCCGATATCGTGTTACGATGGCATTGGAAATGTGTTGCCACCTGTTGTTGCCTCATTCCCGCTCGGATCATTCCAATGGCTTCATGACGCTGTGCAGCTGTCAATGTTGGCATGATTTGCTTGTGATATGCTTGTGTCTGCGCCTGAGAAGTTTTGAATTTTTGAATGACCACAGATTCCCAAGTGACAGCGAATTTTGAGTTGCACATGCTGTGTACAGCTGCACAGGATGCACGTGCAGTAACACATTGCACGTCCATAGGCCCCATAAATGACGTCATATCGCATGGCACGTGCATGAGCGTTTGAATGTCTCCAATAATTGCTGTGTTCAAACCTATATTTCATATATGGACGGTGTGCCCTTATATCTATATTTTCACCGTGCACAGTTTCTTAATGTGGCTGGTATATATACTAATTAGTGTTGGAACCCAGTCTTTCCCAGGTTTTCACTCGGGAATCTAGTCACAATTATATTTGGCAACGCGATTTGCCACATAGCTGAGCCTGGCGGCGTTCGTTCTCATTTAGACCCGCAACTTTGGTCTGGTTTTCGTCAATTGGACCGCAGCATTAATTATCTATTAAAAGTCGCCACATTGCTTAATTTGGCCTGGCATGGTTATGCGATTTAGGCCTTTAATAGTATTTAATCCCTTTTCTAAATTGAGGTAGCCCTTTAGAACCTCCACACCCTCGGCCATTAAATCCACTGTTGCGTCTTTGTCATTCTTTTAACATAACCCACCTTCCTCAGGTAGGTGGGCTCTCACAGTAATATCATGCAATAAAATAGAAAAAAAGTAGCTAGATCCCAGTCATGTTGACCTACCTGTTAAATCTTTCAAAACAATTCAAGGTTTTCTGTAGAATGGCCTTTAGTGGGACGAAATAGTTGAGTTCAAGCCAGGAACGCAAATGGTTGATGCACGAACAATGAACAACGGTGAGGTACGATGACACAGCCAGGTCACACATCGTAACCACCCATAGCCTGCTCCAACAACAAGCAGGGGACCGGGGACCTGTAATATTTTCATATTTTCATCCGATCATGACATTCCGTGTTAAATAAGTTCAGAATATACCCCTAATGTTGCAGCGAACATTATGCTCAACGTTTAGATAGGAAATGGACTTTGTTGAAAGTGTTCAAAGAAAAACAACAATTTAAACTCTTTAGGATTGATGTAACTCCACCTTGCTATTTACAATCTCAGTTACGTTGTGATTCAAAGACGTTTATTTTCTAAAAAATAGTTTTACAAATGCATATTTATGTCGTAGGCAAAACACAGCAAATCAAGTTCCCGGCGATAACGAAACGCATTACCAGAATATTTTACCATGTCACGACCGTTGAAAGTAAAGACGAAAACATCAAAGAGGACAGCATCGTGTACTTATATTTCTGACGTAGACTATAAGTCTCAGTGACTTGCAGCTTCTGTTTTTTTATGTAGACTATCACTTCATTGAAAATTTTGTTTACATGCAACCACGCACACATTTGTCATTTTTAAGTATTGGATGAATAGCGGCTCTTTTCACAGCGACATCTATGTCAGCTAGTGTCACCCATAATGTTAAGACATGGGTTATCTTGTGAACAGTCAAGTCAGTAACTGCAGTCTAATCCATTTCATTCGATAACGTAAATTGCTACACTGACAGTTTCGGTCGATGTAAGGACCACAATCTGCCGTTAGGTTTATGCATTCTAGTAATTGCATTTCACATCTATAATAGTTCAGAAAATCAAATCGGAACCACAGGAGCTGCGTCGATGTTGTTGAAATCTGTGCGCTGCAGATTTCAATTACAGTCCCACGTGAGGACTTGCTCTCACCAAGCTGTTCTAACTATATCCTCCAGGCTGTCCTGCTAGCTTGGTCACGTGAAGGCATTGATTAACCGATTGATCTATCACCGATTGCTGACAATTCTCCCGGCTGTTTTGACGAAAATCGTGAAGAAAGTGCTGTAATCGATGAAGTATCTGATAGAACTACAAGCATTAGGGACTAGCTACAGGAACGGTGTCCAGTGCATTCCTCGTTGTGTGGAGCATTTCCTTGAACAGATGGGAATGCTACTTGTGATGCTGCAAGTCTGATATCGGCCACTGTTTCTCTTCTCTGTCCATACCAGGTAGGTTGTGAACATCAAGTTGCGTTTTACTGTGTCTGTATTTTCAACCTGGGGTTTAACCTGGAATATAGCATGTTCACATTTTCTTGGGCTGCTTGTGCTCCCTAAATGTTTGTATAAATTGGAAAATAGTGTCCGATCAATACTACGTATGCGACACCAGACGTAAATCTGCCACGACTGTGTCTCCCGCTGCATACATGTGAACGCGTGTCTTTTGTGTGACTAACGATAGGTTCTTTAACACAGTTGTCATTTCAAGTTGTGTTTTTTTACAGGTGGTGTAGGCAATAATACAAAGTATTAAAGTCCTTATATACATTCTAATGATTACAGAACCAATTATAAATTACGTTCCGTTTTCAGTAAGGTTTTGTTTTCAATACAACATATCATTTTTTTCAATATCAACAAGTCCAACTTATGTTACATGCCGGTATTTCGGTCATCGGCGACATTTGATACAACAAGAATAATACATTTTGAAAACTTAACAAGGGTTTCCAAGAAATGAAGTGATAAAATGTTGTCTCTTTGCCCTGTTCTTTTTCAAAATGGCTGTCACACAACAACATTAATAATAATTGAAATTCACATTATTGTCAGAATACATTGAGAAAACGGTATGAATTAGGAAATGTCGGTGTATCACTTAACATTTAACGTTTCCATGTACATGAGATAGCTAGCGGTAACTCAACTCCAGAACGGTCCTTATGACTATCGGAAATTTGCCGATCGCTATTTTCGGCTTACTGAGTGCAATTTGATTGTGACCCGCACTTCCAACGTCCTCGGGAATAACTGACCCATTTACCAACTCGGTGTGATGTTTTAGAGGGATTCTCTTCACTTAGGCAATCACATGGTGTTGGGAGAAAGATTTCTTTTACAGTGACAATTTCATGGTGTGTGGAGAAGGATTCGTGTCAGTGTCACAGTATTATGATGATTTAGATCGAAGGATTCTCTTCACCGTGACCCGCACTCCCAACGTCCTCAGGAATAACTGACCCATTTATTAACTCGGTGTGAAAGGAAACCTTTTGGAAGACAGTCACATGCTTCAGAAATAAGTTACAGGTTATAACACAGATCTTAACTGTTTTCAAACACACAGTGATATTAATTTTGGTTATGTGTATTTGTGAAATATGCTACGTATTTTTAAATCAACATTTATACATATATTAAAAAAATAAAGTTGAAACCTGGTATATAGTCCAAGAATGGGGATACATAAGGGAGATACACTCGTGATTTAAACACAATATAGTTTACCCTCAATATCACATGTTGAAGCAATGGCACAGTCACTTAAATGCCACCACCAACTGCTTTAAAGTTGATTCTAAATTGCCACTCGGAAACGATCCTAAATGCGATATATAAACTGGACGGCGCATCACTGATCTTTCCGTTTCACATAAATTTGTATTTGGTCACGACGATACCAGAATTACAACGAAGGAACACATGATCCTCGTCTAAAGATTGTCAGACTCGCAAAAAGTTCAATATTTGTTTCTACCGTTTAGAGAGTACTGGCACACCATTTGCATGAATGAACCTGATTCCAAATTATTACAGAACCTTGAATACGAAATGGTTGATATTCCGAAAGCATCTGCAAAGACACTGACAACATTATGGTTTATAAAAAAATGTTTCTTTTCAACGTGGTAGCCTTATATGTTACAACGAAAAGGGCTATTCTCATCGTAACAGCAATGTGGTATGCAGAGAAGGGGTATTGTCCCTTTGAAAGCCTTATGATGAATTGGAAAGTATTATTTTCACTGTGAAAGCCTTTTGCTTGTTTGAGCGGGAATCATTTTACTGTGACAGCCTTAGGATGTAAATTGATTGAACATGTTCGACGTGACAGCCTTGGTGTATGGAGACGTCTTCTTTTCGCCGTCACACTTTGATTATGCGTCACACTTTGATTATTGTGCTTTTTTCACTGTGATGGTTCTAACATGCGGATTCTAAGAGAAGGATTATTTTCATCGTGGTCTTATGACGTGTAGAGTTGGCTCCTATTCACCGAATCCTTAATATTACTAGTATATGTAGTGAAGGGTTATTTTGACTGTGGTGGCTTTAAGGTGTCGTTTCAATTTGAAAACATTTTGGCGTTTTTAGAAGGATTATGTTCAAGGTAACAGCATTAGTTTTTTTTAGAATGATTTTTTTTCACTTTGGCAGTCTTATGGTGTGTAGGGAAGGGTCATGTGTAAAAAAGAATTCACTGCACCATGACATCCTTGCTATATGTACAGAAGGATTCATTCACCGTCACATACTTACTGTAGGTCTCTTCACTGTGTATAGTGAAGGGTTAATTTCACTTTGACAGTATTATGATGTTCAGGGAAACAATATTCCCCGTCATATCTATATGGGAAGGGATAATTGTCACCATATCAACCTAATAGTGTGTAAAGAAGGATTCTGTTCACCTTCACAGCCTTATGATGCATAGAAAAGGCTTCGTGTGTGAGTGATGGCCTTGTTGTATGTAGAGAAGGAATATTTCCCCGTGATGGTTGTCTTATGTGAAGAAAAGGACTTTTTCACAATGACATCCGTACCATGTAATCATGTAAGGATCATGTTCATAGTGGCAACCTTGTAGAGAATGGTTATTTTTGACTGCGATGGCCTTATGAGTTTAGAGAAGGATAATTTAGCCATGACACACTTATCATGTGTACAGAAATATTCTTTTCAGAGAGATAACATTATAATGTATGGAGAAGGATTGTTTCACCGTGGCAGCAGTATGATGTTTTTAGGGGGATTCTCTTCACTGTGGCAATCATATGGTGTTTGGAGAAAGATTCCTGTCACATTGACAACCGTATGGTGTGTGGAGAAGCATTCGTTTCACCGTAGCAACATTATGATGTTTTTGATGTGATTCTCTTCACAGTGATTATGATTATGATTATGATTTGTCGAAAAAGATTCATTTCAGTGTAACAGCATTATCATGATTTCAGAAGGATTCTCTGTGCGGTGTTAAACTATAAATACTTTTTGATAAAAATAGTGCGAATGGCTACTACCGGTAGGGCAGGACATGCTTACCCTTTTCGCGAACACCTGGTGTCATCATTGATTTTCAGTGGTCCATTCATATAATTTTCACAACTATTTTGCCCCTTATTCTCTTGCATTGACGTTTTATATTTACCATGGCAACCTTATTTGTGGAGGATGGCTTTAAGCTGTGCGGGCAAGATATATTTTCACTATGACAGTCTTGTGATATGTAGAGTTGGCTTCTTTTCACCATGACAGCCTTCATCATATGATATGTAGTGAATCGTTATTTTGAGTGTGGTGGTCTTTTGGTCTCGTTTCACTGTGAAAACCTTATGATGTTTTTGGTAGGATGTTTTTTACTTTGACAGACTTAGTATAATAGTATCCCTTGTCTTGTGGCCAAATGTACCAAATGAATATGGTGTAAAAACTACTAAATAGAGACATAAGCAAAATAGGCAAGCTCCGACCTTCATACAGTTTGGCCATGATCTAATTACCCAAGAATAAAAGTCTGTTGTAGGAAGGTCAGTGAGTGGAATGTGTAGATCCTAAGATCTAGTCCTTTCATTTTACTAAAGAACTGTGAGTATGAGTGAGCGAATGTTGTTGAAAGCAATAGTGCACCTATATCATGACGGACTGTAAATAATCGAGTTTATACCAGGCAAATGAATTCCTAATACACGAACAACAATCCACGCCATGGGCCCGATGACATACAATCAGTCAAGGTACCGAGCATTAATTTCCATATCATCCTTTTCAGTCGACTCAAACGACGAGCATGGCTTTCCCGGGGACTAAGTCTTCCTCAGAACTCACATGGGGTTTGCACTGTCGATAGCTGTATTCTCCAATGGCATTCTTGCTTCAAAGAAATCATTAAATGTCTTTACAATCAAAGTGTAAGGTAGATATCACCAACTGTTAGTAAATCATTAGTATAAACTTTTACAATATTTGTGTGTTAACCATGTCCTCGAACCTACATCATAATACTTATTATCAGATGTTATCAATGATGAGGATTTTGTTGGTAGTCATGTTATTAACATTTTTCAACAAAATGTTTCATTAGGAGAATATTACATATAATATCGGTCTCAATTGGTAAAACATATGACAGAAGGAAATGTCATAAGTTTACCTTGACGATATTCACATTGTCTTCAATACTACAGGGCTGGTAGTTATATCTATATACAACTCGTGTGGTATTCTAATTTAACCCCTTTAAATTACTTAAATGTAGATAAATAACAGTTTCCGAACATTTCATCGACAAACCGAAGCTTGTTGCTAATCCGGTTGCGTATATAACTATTGATGTATGTCCAAACATGTTAACACGTCTATGCATACACATTCATAACATATTATTGCTTTTGCGTGTGCAAACATAGCATTTTGTTAGACGGTGAACAACTGTTAAAACACTTTAAGAGTCAAGTAGCGCCACTCTTTGAATCTCGGACCTACATTCGGTCACCGCCGGTATCCCCGATGAGCAATCAACATGGTTCGATATTCTGTAAGTATCGGCTGAAGTTTGCTTCTGCCCATACCGTTTTAGAAAAGGGAAATCAGTGTGATCTCCCAAAAGTGTATGTTAATTGCGCCACCCTGTACTGAGGTATAACTGACAATGAACAACTCGTGTCCTACGAGGATATTGTGTCAGTACAGGTTCAAACAAAAGGCAAGGTCATCATCAGAAATACGAGAGATAACCGTGATGAACACGTTTTAATTTTAGAGAATTAGAGATCAATACCGAATGTTATTGTTCACATCTCGGGTGTTATCACAAAAGCAAAATTCAGGCAAACTTTACGGAGTATTCGTATGATTGAATTAGCAATGTTCAGTTCATTCCCAACTTTCGGATACACTGCTTCAAAATATCCTTCGAAAGGAACACTATTAGATGACATACACACTTT